GGGTTGCGATCCGTTGCCGGACACGGAAAAAGACAAAAAAAAAAAAAAAAAAAAAAAAAATGGATAAGATTGATGTCCTATACAGGTAAAAATCCTATATTAGTTTTATTTTTAATTAACAATATTTACAATATATGGGAAGTTATATCTTTTGTAATCCTTTGTAATATATGGAAATTATATCCTTTGTAATTAATTAAATTTATGATGAAAAATTGTAATGTTCAAACTAAAAATATCTGAGGAGATGCACCATTTTTCAAAATTATTTTTGGAATAACCCAAGCATAAATGTTGAACAGACTGTTCAAAAAAACACCTCTCTCTCTTTCCAGTCTACATAACCAGCAATTCTAGACTTTCTTCTGTCTTACGACATTTTTCCAGTCACCTGAAAAAGTTTTGATTCCTCTTACTCTCTCTTACCTAACACTTTTACTTAGTTGCAAAATTGTGTTGATTTTCTTTCTAATGTCTTCTTTCTCCCCTTTTCTCTGTTCCCACTCATTGTCCTAGTTCCAGTGTTCATTATCTCACCCCAGTCCTACTTCAGGTCTCCAACTTCTGCTTGCCATCATGCAAATCATACCACACACCGTATCCAGGTTACTGTTTTTGAAGTTCTGTCTGGCCTGGCCAACAGTACATCCATCAACCCACTAAGTGATAGAACTGATCTGCAAAGAGTCTCAGACACTTGCCACTTGTTCCCCATCTGCTCCAATGTCCATGCTGTTTCCATTTAGCTCCTGATTCTGGGTTCATCTCACCATTAAGACCCTGCTTCTACCCTTGGCCATGACCTGTGTATATGGCTCTCTTCAAGACCTCCCATTCAAATTTATCCCTTGGGCTCTTCCAGCTTCAAACTACTTCAGGCAGGGTACTCCATTAAAATAGGAGTTCTTCCCACAGAATCTAGCCACTTGCTCTAGCCCACAGGCCTCACCCAAGTTCACCCACATCATCCTACAAGAGTTGAAGGCATAAAAGAGAAAACTCCCACAAACATAGTTGTGATCATGGTACTTTAGTGCCTTTCAGTAGTAACCCATTGCCAAATGAGCCAAATATAAAGTCTTAGTTAAGGTCTAGAGCAAAACAGCTCTAACCTGCCTTTTTGGCTTAATTTTCCACTACTCCCCCATTTGCCTTCTATGGCTCTAGAAAATGAGAACTATTAACTATTCTGTGAATACACTTCCTATTTTTTTCTGTCTCAATGCCTTGGCGAAATTATTTCTATGTAGAATTCCTCTCCTTCTTAGCCTGACTTCAACATTAATTTCCATTTTTACCTAGTCTTTTAGAGCCAGATCACACATTACCTCCACCTTTAAGTACTATTTGTAAGCCCATAAAGGGAATAATAGCTCTCTTCTTGGAAATTTAGTAGTAGTAGTACTACATTTACATCCTTGTGGATTTTTCTTTCTCTGCCTGTGTTTTTGTTTTAAGCCTGTTACTTAAGCTGTGGGCAATCTGTGGGCAGGGACTGTACCAGACTGATCCTTGTGTCCACCACAGAACACAGTAATTATTCAATAAATACTTGTTAAGTTATTGAATATATATAAGTAATTTAATATTGAATAAATCCCCACATTTCCTGGCTCATGAGCTTTTCCCTAACACAATTTTTTTATTAAAAAGCTTCATTAAAAAGGGACTGAAAAGCATTTCATATACATGAAATAATTCAAAATTTAAGAATAACTATATATAGTAAAATAAAGGCAACAGTCTGAACATATTCAGGATGAAAATATACAGAAGGAAAAGAATAATAGCCAATTATTGGTTAGGCATCAGAACATTTCCATCCTCTTATGTAGAGTGTATATGTTAAGGTTAAAGGTCAAAAGCTAATGACCAAAGCCTGAATAACAAGTTGTAATTTAATGAACAAGGGCCCTGTCCACATGTTAGGAAAGATTGTTCTGACATTAGATCCTACATCTTGATTACAAGTGCCTTTGCAAAGTGTGACTATAATGCAAAGTACACACTGAAACTTTTGGTAATTATTCAAGAGGAATGATTGTGTTTTATTCATCTTTGTACCCCTACAGTGCCTGTTGGATTAAAATCAAAAGATGCTTGTTAAAATCAATATAGACATTTAAATAACTGTTGTCCCATTTAAAATAAGCCACCTTGCAAGACTGATGCCCTATAACAATAATATCTTCCATTTCAAAGAGCATACAATCGTTCTTCACTACCTATGAAATGAAGTTAAAACTCTTTTACCTGGGATTAAAGTCCCCTCACAATTTATTTTTCTTTTTTAGTTTCACAATTTTTCTTTCCTTTTCTAGTCTTACTTACCATTTTTTCCTTCAAGTATCATATCTTCCAGTCAAAACATTTTTTGATTTCTTTTATTTTTTTAAAATATTTTGGTGCTGGCCAGTACCAAACGCTTGACTTTTGAGTTACAAGGCTGTGCTCTAACCAACTGAGCTAACTGGCCAGTCCTCTGCCAGTCAGATTGAACATCCTGATTTCACACTTGCTTGCCTCTATACCTCCGTCAAGCAAGTCATTTGGCAATTTTCATGTCATTTATCATTTTCTTCCTTGCATTATATCTTATATACACAGCTTGTTTTCCTTACAAGATTGCAAGTTCCTTATGTCAGAGATCATGTCTTATATGTCTTTAATTATATTTTATTACATAGCACAGAGCCTGCCTGGCATATGGTAGACACACAAAAAGAAATGTGTTGAAGGAACTACTTAATGTATGAATAATACCAATAAAACTCAAAACTATCTTTTGACAAGCCATAGAAGAAAAGTGATATCCTTAATATATAGAAGTGGTTTTTAAATATAAGTGGGCATAAGAAATACCTGGGAAACTTGTTAAAAATGTAAATTCTTGGTGTTAGTTATCACTAGGGGACTCAAAGAAATATTAAATGATCTAACAAGAAGCAATTATCTCCTGAACCACTGTGGACACAGGATAGAATAACAAAAGGAAGAAACAGATATGAGAGAATAATAGGCACACTCCTGTCAATGGGAGTCATCACCAAACTCTTTCTTTGAAGGAAATGCATTTCTTGGGTGTTTTTCCTTATATCTAACTTTTAACTTTTGAAATCAGGATGACAATATGTGTTTATTTGAAATTCCACTCACTTAAATGTGTGTTTCAGATATGTACCATGTTTCAAAATGCACCATACATAGGCTAAGCCACAGAAACCTTTTCTCCAATAAAGCTCTTTGATATAACCACAACTTTTTTTGAAGTTCTTACAACAAGAAAATGGAGGGGACACGCTTGGGTGGGAGGGGGGGAGGGAAGAGGGAGGGAGGTTTCGGTGATGGGACACAATAATCAACTACATTGTATATTGACAAAATAAAAATAATAAATAAATAAATAAATAAAAAGCTCTTTGAAAAAACTGTTACTATGTGTTAGGGATTGCAAAAGACAAGTCTGGCTATACAGTAGCAAGGCACTGAGAGAACTATTATGTTTTTTTAGATTATCTCAAACAGAGGATATGAAGTAAGACTTCAAGTGGTTCAGAAGAAAAGAGTTATTATTGCCTTTCAGAAGTTTGTAAAATGCCAGTATTCTAAATTTCATACACTGATCTCCTTAGGATAGTCCAATATAGTACACAATATCTGTCACTTCTCTATGCTCTTGGCAAAGATTTCATAGAGACAAATGTTACAGAGGCTCAAAAATGGAGACTTCTGGAAAAATGACCAAAGCTAGAAATAAAGTTGTACTAATTAGAAAACAAATAATTAGATGGCCAAACCCGAATGGTGTGTGATGCTGAAAAGGGATAAATTTCTAAGGCATACCATCTGTTTTACATTTTTTATTTTGCTGTAAAGATCTACTCAGTACAGTTTTGCAATGATCTAGCTGCTAACTCATTTGCACAATTACTTTAGGCCAGAAATAATTATTGCACAGATCCTTTGAGAGATCAACACATTCATAGAAGAGGACAGATATAATACATTTTTGAGTAAAGACTATTTTTTTAGCCCTTAGAGAAAAAAATGTTATTCAAAGAAATTAGCAATTGTCAAAGGAAAATTAGAGAATTTAAAAGGAGAGTGATACCACTATATATTTATGGTATCTAAACTTATCTGGGCCTCTTCTAAATGTTGTAGTGCCTAAAGGCATATTGCTGGGGCTTCTTCTCCCTATCTGGATTTTCTTCCTAATTTATCTCTTCAGCCCAATAGTTTTACATGAGTTCTACATCTCAAATTTATATCTCCATCTCAGTCTTCTCAGTTCCAGACTCATACATTCAGTTATCTGTTTGATAACTCCACTTAAATGGCACATAGGCATTTAAAACTCATCATATCTAATACACAACTCCTGAGTCACCACTCCTGCCCCAGAAAAAAAAAAAAATCTGTTTCTCTTACAGCCTTCTGCATCTCAGTAAATGACACTACCATCCAACCAAGTTGTTAGAGCACAATCTACATGTCATCCTTGATTCCTCCCTTATCCTCATTTCTCATCTAATCTGTTATCGAATACTGTCAAGTGTACCTATAAAAATATATCTCACGTGTATTTTTCTGTCTCTATTGCTACTACCCTATCCAAGCCACTATCATTTCTCAACACTACTTCAATATCTAATTCCCTATTTCTAAGCCATTCCCTGCTCAACAGCCAGAGTGATCTTTTAAGAATATAATAATGTTAACTTGTATTTAAAATGTAATTATGTCATGTATCCCCAATACCTAATACAGTGTCCAGCAAATAACAGATCTGCAATTTTTGTCACAGATGAATACTGCTTAATAATATTCCCATGTGTCTCTAGTAATCTCCAATTTCAGTTCTCAGACATTTTCTGAGATACTTACAGACCTATTCATTTACTGAATTATTCACTCACTCAGCAATTGTTTATTGAGTATTTTATTAATTGGGATTAGGCTCAGTTGCATATTTTACAGTGCCTTAAAGATGACAGAATTTTGTTTTCTGCTCTTATAAAAAAGTCTGGGAGTGGGCAGCAAGGGTCGGATGGCAGCTCTGTGAGCTACAAGTCCTGGTTCCTTGCACCTTGTTGCTCTGCCATCCCCAGTTTTATGGATTCAACTTTATGGTCCAATACGGCTACTCAAACTGCAGTCATCACATCTGCATTCCAGTCACCAGGAAAGAGGAAGGCCATGAGGAACACCATATCCAATCCATTTAAGGGACACTTCCCAGAAATTGCACACACTTCAAATACAGCCTTTTAACTGGATACCAATGTTTCCGGCTAAAAGTCAGGAACTTTATTACCATGGAAGAAAAAGAGGATAAATGTTGAGAGGTAAGTAGCAGCCTCTTCCAAAGTTCCTACTGTGACTAGGTAATGTTCTGGGTGCAGGGATACAAAGATCAGTAAGACACAGGGTCTGTGCTTGAGGAATTTAGTCTAACGGTGGAAAGCAATACGTAAATAAGTATCTACTTAAGATTTCAAATGAGTAACAGCCACTGTTTGGAGACCTTGAGTCCAAAGATTCAAGGACTTTTGAGTCCCTAAAGATTTGCCGCATCCACACAGTTGAAAGAGAAGTGAATGGTTGCAGTGCTTTACATTACTCAAGTATTCGGGTTGCTTCAAAATTCCACAGCTTTAATAATGGACATTTTCAGCTCTGTTCTACTGGACGTAAAACCTTCATTTAAACTCTATAAATATATATAAACAACTGTGGTAACAGCTGTAACAGTTTGAATATGCCCATTTCAGAAATATGTCAACACTCAAAAATTTTTTAACTTGTCAGAAGATGAAACTAATAGACTGTTTTTTTTTTTTTTCGTGACCGGTAACGGGATCACAACCCTCGGTGTCGCGCCCGTACCACGACCAGCAACAGGATCGCAACCCTCGGTGTCGCGCCTGCACCGCACTCAACCAGTGAGCGGACCAGTCTCTATATGGGATCCAAACCCTCGGCGGGAGCGCTGCCGCACTCCCAAGCCCACACTCTACCGAGTGCGCCACCAGGCCGGCCCGTAATAGACTGTTTTAAGAAGACTATTTACAAAACTACAAGGTCAAATTTTTAAAAAATAAGCAATGGTAGCATGTCAGAAAGCAAGGGGAAAAAAAGTACTACTGTAACTTACTGTTAACCACTGGTTATCCAGTAGTTCCTTAGCTGTGATTCTGTGAGCAGGATCTACTTTCATAAGTTGTTTCAAAACACTTTTAGCTGCAAAGAAGGGAAAATCCTGAAAATCTTATCCTAATTACAATTAAAATCATATATTTCCCAATTTATTTAGGATTAGGTCTGTATAACATGGAGAAAAATGTCAAGTATACAATAAAAATCATAAGAATAAATGCCTAATAAAGACTAGAGCCTATAGTGAAGTTTTATTGCCTGGATTATCTAGTTTAATAGTACATACTAAACATTAGCTAGATGAACAGCAAATTCCTCTTTAATTTTTACTATGTATTTTCCGTTTTTGTGGAAGTTTTGACTATGAACAATCACAGTGAAGGTATCAGTGTTTCCACAAATTAATAGTGTTTATTTCCACAAGTAAATTTATGACTAAACAGAGATTTAAAACATTTGAATTACTGGCCAACTTTCTTATATTACTTGCATGTGCTTTAGTAAATAATAACAAATCTATACTTACCACAATCACTTATGGAATCCCAAACTGGATTTTCAAAACGTAGTTCTCCCTTTCTTATTAACTCAAAAAGCTTCTCTTCTGAGCTTGCCAGAAAGGGTGGCTCTCCACATAATCTACAACAAAGGCAATGATTTTAAATTTTTAGAAAAATAATAAAAATAAGGCTCTTAAAAATTAAGTTTCTATAGGACTTGGAAGTAGTGGTGCTTCATATTTAAGTAAAGGATAGGAAGAGATGGGTACCTTTCTGGATGCAGAAATGGAAGCCATAGGGTTTTTCAAGATCAGTGCTAGGTTCCTGACTCCACAATAAAAGAAATGACCAAGTTGAGGAAGTATACATGTATACATTGAAACCTCTAGATTTGCAAATGACCCAAGCTCTTCGAGGTGGGGAAACATTAAGCTTAAGTGGGGTTAGAATACAGGAAAGCGAGTTTAAGCACACAATAACAGCAGCAGCTAATAGGGGAGATACACTTTGGTGTGAGCAAAGTAAGGTAATGCCTTATGATATATAATACGAACTGGACTTAGAGAAAATACAATGAGTTATCAGAATCTAGTGAGAGTTACCAAAGTCTAATGACCATGTAAGAGTTTTACCCATGGTTAAATACTATACAAATGTTAGTAATAATAAAAATGAACCAAGAATAACTCGGGGAATTTCTATAGGCTCTAAGTCAAAGCCAAAAAGCCATTAAAATGGCCACAACTCTTCAAAAATGGTATATAAAGTGAAGATGGTCTAGATGAGGAAAATCAGGTGATGATTTGACCCTTCAGTCTGAAAGGATGAAGACTGAGTACACATAACGGCCAGCATCAGTAAAACCATGAGCAGTGTGTACAAAGTAAACAGGGCTTGTTCCCACGTTCTATAACACAGGAACTATGTGCCCTTAAAATCCTGTAATAGAACATAGCAAGCACATGGCAAGCCTATGAAACCACTGCTTCAACAGGCGATCTAGGCCAAAACTACAAGAACATGCTTAAAAGTTGAGTTCAATTTTTCTTATTACATTCTCAACAAACGTTAGTCATCATCGTTATTGTCAACCCAACATCTGAGGGCAGTGCTGTAGACAATAACCAGATTTGCCCAATGACAACCAGACAGAAGGTGAAGCTAGACTCTTCCCAGAGGCCACTCTGTGTGTGCATTCTTCAACTTTCAGAATTATATTTTTCCATTTCATTATTGAAAGAATAAAATGGCATAATTTCATTACACTTTCCCAAATTGCAGGTCTAGCCTGTACATAAGTATAATAATCTCTGAGCCTTTTAACAGTTACATTTTTACTGATTTTCTTTATATTTTTACGTTTAAAAATTTGATTCATAAACATTTTCTGAATGAGTCAAAACTTGATAAATATTTTTCATGATAATAAACATGATGATGATAATGACAACAATAATGATGACTTTCTCAGGGAAAAAAGTGCTTTCATCCTAGTAGTTTGTCAAACTAGGCTGGACAATAGACCTCTTCATTTGTAAATAGGTTTTTATTAAGAGATCACTATTTACCAAATTGTTCTGCAAACTCTTATTTTCATAATGTTTATTTCCCCAGCTCATTCTGACCCTCCTCTCTCTCATCTTACTTGCCTTGCTATTGTTGAGTATTGAAATCAATCTTTAAAAAAAAAAAAGCCACAAAAAAACAAAAAATCCAGAAAAATGGTCTTATGGACAATTATTATCTATTATAACAAGTACAGGCCGGCAAAAGCCCAGCTCATCAAGCCTGTTATCAACCAGTGATATGCACATCCACCAATTTCTTAGCTGCCCCTGCACTGCCTGAGTAGCATGCAACCATAGCTTAAGGGCTATATTTAAACATCTCCACTTTTTTCTGTCTGTTGCAATTTTACTTACACAATATGTATCTATTGGTTGGTCAATCAGTAGCATACAAATTTTATGACAACAATTTTCTGCACATACAGAAAAGGGAATTCAAGATGAAAAATGCCTTTAAAGTCATCTATTATTTTCTATTGCACTCATAGAAATCAAAACAATAGAAGATATTAACCATAAAGAGCATTTGTTTATTTTAATTTCATCTTGAGAAAGTATGTTATCATTGTCCAATTAAGCAGAAATAAAACAGAGGTAACCAATAAACAAACAAACAAGCAAAACCCTGAAGAAGGTACTATGTTTGTGCTCTGGTGAAGGAAATTCTCTATAACGCCACTGGGCTCAGACAGATTAATGATAGGCACTGATTAGCTAAGTAAGAGTCTACTGTAAAGAAAAGAAGACGTCATTATGATGATATGCAGCCAAACTCTGAAACAGAAAAATTAAAATTATATCTTTAAGAAAAAGAAAGATCTTTAAGATATGTAATACATTGACTTTCCTCAACATGAAATTCAAACTAAGAAGGCAACAAAAACCACATGAATTGTGTATTATTAGATTATACATATTATGTTTGACTTGCATTATCTAGAAAGTCTTGAGATTATAAAAGACTAATTTAAAATAGTTATATTTGAAAACTAAAGCTCAAAATTTTTGTACTATGATTCCAATCAGCACAAAACAATGATCAAAAACTTTGTGAATACATTTATACTTTACAAAATCTAGGCAATGATGTGTGTTGACCAGCTGAGTTATAGCTATAAACACATCATCCGATTTCTACTGCCTGTGTATTCCATTTCACAGAACTGTGAAAATGTACTACTGTGATGTCAATATTTAGAAATAATCTGGAAGAGGTAGTACATGGTGAAATCCTCAACATGACCATAAAACTAATGTTGCCTCAACATAAAAATGTTCATATACCAACAGGTGAACAATGGTCACTAACTTTTCAGAACACCTCTTAGACAATTCACTTTAATTCAACTTAACAAACATCGAGCACTGAATAAGTGCCTACTACCGTACCAGGTACCAGGGATGCAAAGATGAATAATCTAAGATACCTGTCTTTCATGGAACTTAGAACAAGGAAAACAGATACAATATATGTAATGCTATAATATTACAATGTTATAATTTAGTTTTTAAAAAGTGTTATGAGAACACATAAAGGCGAACAATTAATTTCATCAAATTTACACATGTACAAACCTTCCTAGTTAAATATTCCTATTTTATTATTTTCTTATTCAATATTACTGTTTTGCAAACATATTTGTATGCTGCCTTAAAATCCTCTGTGGAGTGTAGAAAAGTATACACATAATAAATGCAGTAACTCTACTCAGGTAGGGTAGGAGTTAGGGAAATAGAAGGCTTTAATGTTTGAGCTGGGCGCACCCAGGAGAGGTTCATAGAAAAGAAAAAGAACACATACAGACCCACTGACCCCCCAGAGGCATGCAATACAGGGTGTGTTTGAGTAATGAAGAGTGGCCTAGAGTCACCACAGCATGGGATAGGTGTAGGGAAACACACATCCACCCAAGGTTGGAATGGCATGCTGGAATCAGATCATGAAAGGCTTGCTATGCCATGCCATGCCATGCCAGGATGTTCTGATATTTTTCTGTAGTAAGGGATAATTATCAGAGGTTTTTAATTGGGAAGGTAGTATGATTGGATTTGTGATTTAAAAAGACAACCCTGACAACAGTGTAAAGGATGAACTAGAGAGAGTGACCAGAGGCAGGGAGAACAGTCAGAAAGACCCCTGTAATATTCTAGTAAAGAGATCATGAGGAGAAATGATACAGGAGAAGAGAAATCAAAAAATAGTGAGGACACTTCAAAGGAAAAATGAACAAAACACTGGGTTTGATTTGAATCTTGAGAGTGAGAGAGAAGTAAGAGTAAGAATGAGGTTTTCAGTAGTATTAAGAGAATTGTGAACTACAGAATACTTTTAGATCTTGAATGAACCTCCACCTGCTTAGCACCCACTTCCCACATA